AATGGATGGAGTGCAATTCTTAAAGATGAGTGACCATTGAGAAGTATTTTGAAGTTTGATGAGTAAACTATGGCATAGTGTAAGTTGGATGAGTGATGAAACAATATTTTTGATGATTTGTAATTTTTTAACGACCGTCAGACGTCACCTAGAAATTCCGTCCGCTGGCGTCAGTGCCCAACAAACGAATTTTTTGACAGTGGTGGATGGAGAGGTAAATGGCAAAGTTGAGTGAGTACTGTGAAACAGAATGAAGTTCGATGATCAATCCATGACGATGATATAAGTTCAGTGATTTTTGGAACAATTCATTCGTAAATCCTAATACCTCACTTGAGCCATAATTTCTTCTCTTTTTTAATTAAAATACAACTACTAATTTCTAATATTTTGTAGTTATCCTGGGAGCAGCCATTGATATACGACTAAAAAGGCCAATTCAAACACGCTTTGGATCACAATCTTATATTCAAGATGTGATTCTTGTGGACAAGAAGTTTGCACAACTATTCTTTGATTTATTTGTTTAAAATTAATTTATTTTCTCACAAATATTATTTCTGACCTTCGATGTTTTCCACATTTTACAGCTTCGGAATAATATTGTTAAATATGTGGAATGGTTTTGTAAAAAAATGAATGCACTCTTATTTTAGAGAACTTGACTAATAAACTAATTGTTGAAAAACAATTGAAAGTAACATCTTTCAATGGCACACTTTATATAAATAAATATTAAATCGGTTTTTATTTACTTACATGCCACTCATACAAATTCTGATGTCATGTTTAATAGGTCTTTCAATATCTACAAATCCCAATAGTTCTTTCGTCATTGATCCTCTGTTTGAACAAGTTGATCAGTTAAAGCTTTGATAATTGCTCTTAAATCCTCCCTTTAATTAAATTTACTTACCATACTTTTACCTTAAATACTGCAACATTAATTGTTAAATCTACAACTTCATTTCATTTTTCAACTAAAATCATCTCTATTTCTTACTTAATATTTTAATCACATTTAATACAAATCTTCAAATGCAGAATGAAATCATAACCAAAAAATGTTACCATCTATTAACTTCTTCAAGAATATCCATTCCAAAGGAAGACAAAATAACTCCTATCAGAAATATAAATGGACTTTTGCTTGTGGTAACATAGTTCTTATATTTTATCATCCTAAGCCCTACAATATTTTCTTATCTAATTACTTTCAAAAATACTTATTATTAACTAATACATATTTTGTTAACCAAAACAAAACTTTTTTTGGTTAAAAGCAAAATCGCATATCACAAATTTTGATCAATCTTTCTAGTACACATCGTGCAACAACTACAATAAATCTACATATGCTGATTTCAATGAAATGCATTGCTGTTAATTCTACAGATACTCTCAAGCCCTAATAGTCGCATGTACATTAAATTGAATTTAATACATTACAGTTTTCTCCAGCTGCTATCTTATCTATGCTATATTAACATAGAGCAAGTGCTTATATCAGTCTGTAAGATTCATCAGGACAACCTGCTGAGAAGTCTTACAATGCTCTGCACTCACATTGATGAAACAAACTGACACCCACCTCAAAAATATTGTTAAAACAATTATGCTATCATGCATTCATTTACATTGCTAAATCCAATATTTATATATTTCAACGTGACAAGAAAAACTTCACAGAACCAATCCACGCCTCAACAGATGGAGTTATTTTTCCATGTGAAAGCTGTAAAACATAAAAATGGAGTTGAATACAAGCACGATGTAATCTTCTTTGTAGGTCCATCTTCAACAACAGGAAAAACTCCACATGCAAGCATTGATGAAACTACATCTCTAACTCCATTTGCTGAATCACTACACTTGATGCACGATGATTCAAATACATCATCAACCAAAAAGGAACTGTTCTTAACTTCCAGTCCTTCACATTCCTAAAACAAACAAGACCGATATAAATTATAGTGGCAAAGGCAAAGGCAAAGGCATTGAAGTGAATAAATCCAATGATCGAAATTCTGGCTGATGCAAAATGTTTCAACATTGGAAAATGATGCACGTTAGAAATGGTTTTTGCTCGTTTTGTCTCATTCCAGTTAATGCACGATTTAACAAGAAATAGATTATGAAATTTGTAAATAAACTTCAAAAATATCACTTTTATTTTAAGCTACTCATTTAACAGTTATTGAACCAAACATTATCTGTAATTTGGCTCTATACCTGTTCCACATTCCACTATGCTATTCTGGTCAATTATATTAAATAGTATGATGGTTTTTGGTCTTTACGAACTTCTTGGTTAATGTTCATTTTTACCTGTATCCATTATGTAAGTTGTACAAGTTCTCATTAATCTGACATATTACTTTCACCATCATTTCTCAGCAATTCTAAATTATAGAAAAAATATTTCTTTTTCTTTCAATACAGCTATTGTACGTAAATCTGAATGAGGTTGAACCAACTGAAAGAAATAATCCAAACAATACATAAAAAACGTTTTCATTTCTTAATCTATGAACATTCTTCTTAACTTTAATCAACTAACGTGCAACGCATGTTTCCACATTAGTAGATAAAAAAAAAAGAATTGCTCATGAAAAGTATAGTTCCCGAGAAGTCAAGAAAGTTCACCCAGTTGTCTAATCTCTCTTTTATTTTGGTAGTCTCTTGTTAAGTGCTATTCTAGAAGCATCCGTGTTCTGATTTTCTCTAGTGATTTTCTCCAACCCGTCTCTCTTCTTGTTTCTTTTGTTCTTGACTGGTGTGGTGTGCATTAAAGAAGAATTAAACAAATTTTTGGTAACTCTAATCACTAATTAGCACTAATGGTGGCTGTTTATAGATAAACCTCAAGGTCGTCTTTTCACATGAGTAATCATCATTCAGGAGCCTTGGTAATCCAGGCTATGTTCTACTCTCAACTATCAATGATGAACTTATTACATGTCATCACGCCATATCATAGTATCTACAGATTGTCACTATTGAAGTCATATTTTAAAGGCTGAAATCTCAAACTAACAGTAAATATTTACATTATATAAGATTACTAAGAAACGAACTATATATAACTTGCATTCATTCCTACATAAGATTATTAACGAACTATACAGAACTTCTAGTGTAACTTATGAGCAAAACCCGTTCCCTTGGCTCTGGTTTCGCTAGACAGTAGAGAGACAGTGCATCACTAAAAAGAACACAGTCCATCATTCACCAGTAATTATCAAATTTCTTTAGTTTTACATTCAAGGTGAGAATTTTTATTGTTTGGTAACCAAAAAATAGATTGTAAATATTCATTTTCTTCCCATTTCTTTTTTCCTTTTACTATACTTCCCTTCCATGAGTGATTGGAAAGTTCAATCACCAGAATCCATTCCTTTTACTCGCTTCCAACTAAAGTACTAAGAATAGGTACAAGAATAATAGCAAGTGGTAAGAATCAGCAACAGAACTACAAGGGATAAATCACAAAACAAAAATTCTCGCTCTGGTAATAACTTGAGAAACCAGTATTAAGGTTCCAAGTAACAAATTTTTAGAAAAGATCATACTACAATATAGTATTTCTAAGCAAAAGCAAGCCTCAGGGCTTCCACACAAGCTCCAAAATCTAACCACTAATTTGCAAAATATGGAAACTTGGCAAACAAATACCTAGGACAAGTTCTAACTTGGGGGTGCTCCACCAAAGCTGCCAGATCCTCGTCCAAATCCAGGTCTTCCGCCGGAACCCTGCATGTCAATTTGAATCAGGTAAAGCTTCATATGATGACAGACTGGACATAAAATAACAAAAATACTACAAATTAGGAGAATCAAATAAGCCATGCTGTTCACGATTTGATAATGTAAATTGGCTGCTCTAGAAGTGCTCAAGGGATTTGAAGGGAAAAGCAGCCAAAACCCACAGCCTTCTACTCTTCTGTGAACAAAACCCAAAAATAAAAGAGGTGGCTTGATTTTTAAGCAAGTAAAGTAGGAGAAGGCTTCAGTTGTCAGCAGTATAACGTCTGATATTAAAATTATTTCCATCTAACAAAAAATTAATAAAAATCCGTACAAGAAACAAAAAGCTTTATTTGATTTTGATTTTTTGAGAAGTGATTTTGTAATGTATGGTAAAAAATGTAGGAACAAAAAGCCCTTGTTTGATTTTTATTTTTTGAGAAGTGATTTTGTAATGTGTGGTTAAAAAAAGTAGGAAATAAGTTATGGCTTCACAAAATTATTTTATTAGGAGAATGTGTGGCTAAAAATGAGTTTGAAGAAAAGTGGTCTCGAAAAATAAAAATCAAACAAGGTTAAATCAGTTGCACGGTAATTCAAAAAAGAAGTTTATGATTGATGCAAGTTTATCCTTCAACCATTGACATTGTAACATGTAGAGAGAATAATAAGAGTTCAATTTATGTTTCAATAGAATACAAGTTGCTGTCTTTGAGCAATAGTGAGAAATGATTAGAGTAATAATTTCCACATCTCAAATGTGTCATTTACGAAAGTTCAGATGACCAGCACCCTAAAAGAATGAAATCAGATTAATAAACCATGTTGGATAAAAGTTACCTGTGACATTTGAGCATTACATGTTCAGAAGTCTAGGTGGCAATTAAGCATTAATTGATATGCAAAATGGGACACTTATCCTTTTATTTAAGATGACATCTATTAATGTTACTTAATAATTGACACCTACACTGCTGATCACCAATAGTTGTGATAGATAGCATTATTCATGGTATAAACATAGTTTAAAAATTGCCAAGTATAAGTATCTTACATTTGGCGTTGGGAAATGTATCATCAATGCAAGTCACATACAGGATCAAGGTTAAATATTATGGAGTTATTTGCATTTCCATGGGCCCTAAATACCATTGGCACAGGAATACAAGAATGTGCACACAATTACATAAGCCTAAAGCCTTAATTCACTTAAGATCCATTTTCCTTTTAAGATAAAAAGGACAAGAAAATTTCAAACAATATCCATAAAACAGAAGGGCAGAAAATAATTCATCAATCAAGCAAGATGTAGCAAAAGAAAATCCAAATTACCCTGAAAGCAGGCTGGTAGTCAGCCGGAGCTCCACTCTTCTCACCACCAAATTCACCAGGTGGTCCTCTTGGCCCACCCCTGTACCCATCCCTATCTCCAAACCTTGGCCTGTCACCCTCGAATCTGGGTGGTCCACTATCAACAAACCCAATAAAGACGTTATATTTCTAACACAAATTGCAAAAGGATAATTAGAACTTATTTCAATTAAAATGTATCAGTAATTAGGGTATCAATATATTACACGGGTCAATTACCATAACAATGAGAAGAAACAAATAAAAATTCCTTAACGCTTCTCCGCGTATGAATCATACAAGAATAGGAATTCATTTACACAAGAAACAACAAATCAAATAAATATAGTTTTGGGAGAAATTTTTTTGATCAATAACCGAGATCATCAAAACAAAGACTACCTAAAACATGTATCAGATTACAATTAACAATAACTACTAAAAGAAAGTTTTATTTACCGTGGGCGGTCGCCTGGTGGGCCTCCCATGGGTCGACCGAGGGGCTTAGCAGACTTCTTGAGAGTAGCCGGTACAATCTCCGATGGAAGGTTGAGGTAGGTGCGGAGGAACTCAATGCCATCATTTGTCAAATACCAATAGTAATGCATCCAGGCAAAAGTCTCCCGCACGTATTCCTTAGACTTAAAGCTCTGCATCAGCTTAATCACCTGCAAGTTAGGTACATCGATTTCCGGGTGCTTGGCGAGGTTGAAATCCTTCTTCGCATAGCATACACCCTCTACGAATACATACATGAATTTATAATTCCACATCAGAAGTCAATTAATATGTAAAAATGTGCGTCACAGAGAGGGAATGTGATGTGACCTTGGAAGAGGTATTTTGAGATCTCTCTCCGGTTCTTCTCTGGGATAATCTGGTATCATATTATAATAAGTAAATGATTTAATCCATATTGCCAACATAAACATGAAAATAAGACGAAAACCACGTACAGAGAAAAGAGAGAAAATATACCATGGCTTTTGTATGATCGATCTGTCGGTCGCCCGGCGGCGGAGAATGCAGAAGAATATTAGGGCTCTGGCGGAAGATGCGGCAGCTGTACAATTCTTGAAACCCTATAAGCTTCCTGGGATCAGTGGGCTTCGGTTTGGGCTTGGTGGGCTAAATTTTTAAGATTTGAGTTTGGATCCATGTCTATATGGGTCATTTGTTACGGGGCTTAGGCTCAAGCTAGCATGTGCTCAACCATATCAAGCGTGAGAGGAATTGATGTAAGAGCTAAGCCACTGGGGAAAATTATATAAAATCAGGGGTTTAATTTATAATTTTTAAAAGTCAAGTTTTAAGTTTATTTTTGTAAAAATCAGGTAGTATATTAAAACCTAATTCTTAACCTAATTTCTCCACCCCATTCCAATCGCCTCCCCTTTCCTCCCCTCCCCTCCCCAGCAGCGTCGCGACGCCGCAGCTGCTGTGAGCCTCCCCTTCGACCTCATCTCCACCCCCTCCCTCCCGTCTAGCAACCAAACTCCTCCACAGCGGCGTCGCGACTGCCGGCGTCGCAATGGCAGTCGCGACACTGCCGCTGCTGTGAGCCTCCCCTTCGCCCTCATCTCCACCCCCTCCCTCCCGTCTAGCAACCAAACTCCTCCACAGCGGCGTCGCGACTGCCGGCGTCGCAGTGGCAGTCGCGACGCTGCCGCTGCTGTGAGCCTCCCCTTCGCCCTCCAGAGTCGCCCTTCACCAACAGCTCTTGGGGCATCTGCTGTGGGGGCACCAATCGCTGGCCTTGGTCCATGTTTCCCGGCCGGCCTGTGCCTAAGAAGCAGGCATCTGCTGCAGTGGGATCTGCTGTACCAGCTACTAATAGTAAGTCAGAAAAGCTTTATCCAATACTACCTACTGAGAATGGTTCTGAGACATTCATGGGCAATCTGTTGTGGGCAATCTGGTTGTGGCGATGGTTGTGTGTTGTTGTGACGGGTCGACGGCGGTGGTGGTAGCGGTCGCGAGTGTCTGTGACCTATATGGGTGTCTGTGTGACCTAGGAATTGTGTCTGTGACCTAGATGGGTGTCTGTGACCTCGAAATTGTGTCTGTGACTCATTGAAATAGAGTTGCGACAAGTAAAAGTTTTGATTTTTTTTCAATCTGTGACCTGTGTAGGTGTCTGTGACCTAGAAATTGGGACTGTGACTCACTGAAATAGAGCTGTGACCCGTAAAATTTTTGAATTTTTTAATCTGTGACCTATAAAAAATTACCTGTGACCTTAAAATTCTTGATTTGTGACCAACGAAATTAACTGTGACCTATAAATTTTTTCATCTGTGACCTCGAAATAATCCAACACCAATTAATTTGATAAGCTGTGACCTGAAATTAATTTTTAACTAATTAATAAGATATACGCTATCAAATTACACAATTAAATATTTAATTAATTAATAAAAAGTAGAAACCTGATTTTTACAATTTTAAAGCTTAGCACCTGATTTTTTAAAATGGCAAACTAAACACTTGAGCCATAAGCTTTTCCCTCGCCACTGCGCCAAAAATTATTGTCCGCATATTTGATAGAAGAACTGACTTTTCTAAACAATCCAATGTGACATTCTATAAAGGAAGATGACATTTTTTTCTGGCAATGTAGCATGATAGGGATTATTTAGGCCATCCACTAACATTCTACCTGAAGCAAATTAATTATTAAAAAATACATAAATAACGCCGACGTCTTCCTTACCTTCAATGGACCTCATGACAAATATTGGGGGCCGAGCAGTCCATAAAACCATTCAATTGGTATTAAAAAAGGGGTTGGAGTTGGGTTTTTGGTTAGGGTTATGGTTATGGTTATGGTTTATGTAGGTGGGGTGGGTTTGGATGGGTTGGTGCCGGGCATGAGTGGTGGTGCCGTGATGGTGGCAATGGTTTTAGGATTGGATGTGAATTATGAATTGGAGGAAATCAATAAAAGGATAGGTGTGGTGATGTGAGGTGGGGGGTAGCGTGTAGCATATACCCGATTTTTGAATGAATAAAGTCTAATTTTTGAAATGGTAATTTAAAAATCAAGGTAGATGTAATTTTCTCATTAATTGTTTTTCTTAATTAAATAGTCGAAGAAGCCATGGAGTATATCAATGATTTCTATAAAATGAAACAACCATGCTACATAGATCGAAAATGGTTGACATTCAACTTGACCGAACACTCACAATAGGGGAGGGCTCACTTTTTTTGGAATTTTTTATTTACACGGAGCCCACACGCATGTGAGAGGCTGTCAATGCCTCTGTCACCCATTTTCGAGCAGAGATGCTTAATTCAAAATGAAAACATTAGCGCATCAAGTTGAGACTAAAGTTCATGTGATACATAGTTATTTTGACTGGCTTAAGGCTAACTATTCGGAATTTTGTAGATATACATTCATGCTGGACATTGTCTAGTTCTCTCCAACTAGCAACAAGGGTTGAAAAAAAAATGGTCCAACAACCAGTCAAGTCAGAGTGGGACAAGTCCCAGTATTTGAGGTCAATGACAAATAGAAGAGATGTGAAGCAAAAGTCAATAGAAAATTGTTATGAAGGTGGAAAATAGGTCACAAATCTTATGATTGCAGAAAGTAAGCCAACAATTTGTTACTTAACCAATAAGAAGGTGAAACTAATGGTTTTGAAGAAAATGAAAAAGCAACAGAATGAAAGGTTGCTAGAATTTACAGAAGAAGTAACCTATGAAGATTAAGGCCATCCAAATCTAGTAGTACCCCCAAAAGTAAAAGGTGACTTGCAATGGAATAGCATATTTTAAACAAAGTGTTCATCAAATAGTAAACTTTGTGTACAGTTATCATTGATGGAGGGCGCTGTAAAAAATCTTGTTTTTAAGGAGATGGTCATGAAGTTGAATCTACAGATGCTTTCACATCCAAGGCCATATTTAGAGTTTGTTTGGGAGAGATTTTAATCCAATTAAAATTAAAAATATAGTCGTTTTTGGATCTCACTTGTTTAATAAAAGTCAACAATAACTGCTAGTTTTTCACTTTTAATCCGATTTTAATCTCTACCAAACAAGCTCTTAATAGCTTGGTTCAAGAAGGGAAGGGAGGTAATGATAACACATTAATGTCTTGTTCCTTTCTCAATTGTGCAAAATTATTTGCAATCATGCTATAAGTACAGACAAATTTGACAAGAAAAAATTTACAAGCAAGACTTGGCATGCATTTATTGGAAGATGGAAAAAATAAAAAACAAAACAAGCGAATCACATTTCGCTATGTCACCATTAGTAAAAAATCCGTCAAAATTTTTCTGTAATTGGGGCTTTTTTTAATTATTTGGACAAGCTTTATGTGATGTAGTGGAGATGGAGGCTTGTCACATGCTCTTAGGATGGCCATGGCTTTACAATAATAAGACTGCACCATGGAGAAAAGAACACACAATTTACAAAGATGGAGTCAAAGTAGTACTTGCCCCAATAAAGGAAGAAGACTTTACCAAGTCAAAAGTGGAACATGAGAATTCATATTTAAATACCTAGTGCTTCCTAATTAGGTTGAGGCTAGTGTTTTGCTTACTAAGGAAGTAGTGAAAAATCATCAAAATGTCAAGCGAAATGAAGGAGCTGCACGACCACATTATGTTGAAGAATCAAACAAAGGAGAGTTCAAAACTTCAAAGAGGGTAATGTGGCGATGATCTACGTATAGACCGGTTTCAAATAAAAAGAAAATTGGTTCCTACAAGGTCCTAAGAAAAATGGGGAAAATGCTTACAAAATCAACTTGCCACGACATTTGGGCATACATCCAACATTCAATGATTCCGACGAGTATTTTCATTGCGAAGAAGATATGAATGGTCCCTAACAAATTCGAGGTGAGTTTCTTTCATGGAGAGAGATTTATGCAAATTAATTTTTGTCTTAATTAAATTGTCAAAGGAGTCATAGAGTCATTGTTTAGTTTTATAGAAGTACTTAAATCTACATTCAAACATTCAACTTTTATTTTTTCCCATGGGTCTCTAGCCTTCAAATTCTGTAGCATTTAGATTCCCACCACCTAATTTTGAGTTAAAAAAAAAAAAAAACGTTAATTGGCCACATTTTAGTGATGATAACAATTTAAAATGAAAATTATAACCTTGATTAAAAAATAAATAAAACCAGCAAGCCACCTTCGGACCTGCAGTTACCCAGCTCCTCCCTCATCCTCAAATTGAGTCATTCAAAAACACAAGTCATGCACATCAGTTGTGTAACGAGACAATAGGTTAATAACAGTCTCAAGAAGTACATAAGCAGTGTAAATAGAATGGATGTCCTTAATATAGCACAATCAAAACCAAAATTTAGCTTATACAGTTGAGGCCGGGATAAAATAGAGAGAAAAAAAGTTATCACCTTACAGTTAAGATACAAATGAATTGGTAACAAGAAAAGAATTCCCCTTGTGCTGTTCGCATACAATTTTTGAGCCTTGCACACGAGGTGAACATACAGAAATGAACTTGAATACCTAGATGTTATGATTCAGTCTGTTGAGATTTTTTCTTTTGTTGAAATTTGTGGACTCTTGGAAACAGTAGATCATTCAACTGTCTTTCAGCGCTATACTCCGAAGAGGCCTGGAAATCAACATGTTAAAGAGGGAGGAGAGAGATAGATATAAAAAGGTAATTTTCACTATTTTGTATATAGTCCAGGCCATGCATCACGAAAAGAGAGATTGTTCTTTCATTGCAAACACAGTACGCGTCCAAGATGAGTACAAGCATATGAAATTGATGGAATATATATGCAACCAAAAGAACAAAAAGTATATACCCTCTTCTTAAATGCAAAACGCAATGTTTGTACTTGTGTTCCAGAGCAAATTCTTAAGTCAAAACCTAGGCTGTCTACACTTACAAGAACCACCTCCTGTCACAAATTCAATAAAAAAAAAAAAAATTAGCAAAAGAACTTCTTTGCAGAAAAATAACTTTTTTGACTCTGTGTTAATATGTTAGATGGCCTTCTCTAGTATTCCAAGAAAATATATGGCAAGAGAGGATATAGAATGTCAACTAGTTAAGGGTCCAATATTATGAACGTAACATTTCACACACAATTTAAATTCTTAAACAAATTCATCTCACAAAAGTAAGTACTAAGTTTCGAGGAGGGAAAGAACAACTTCAAAAGGCCTCGTTCATGAAGAGATGGGTGAGGAGAAGTAGATTTTGATTCCTCTCACTTTCTTCATGCTGTCAATTTCACCAAAGAATGGATGAAATTACAATCTTATTTTCGAGTCAATTTTCCAAGTTAAAAACAATGCAAAGTTTACTTCAAGTTAACAGGCATGATATAATCACAGATTAATGCAACTCCATTGAGTTACCTCCACATGAATACCCTTGCATCTCCAGCACAGAGATTTGAGAGCTTGTATGGTCTTTTCTCCACCAGATTTGACACGAGATATAATTTTTGCAGCTGAATGGACTATTGCGTCAGGTTGAGCTTTCATAAAATCTTCTATATCAACAAAATTCTGCAGAAATAAAAACAGAAAAAAAAAATTATGCTTTCCCATCCTAATAGCAAAAGGATAGACCACCTCAAAGTGGTGCATTCAATGCGTAATACTATTTGAAATTTAGCCCCCGTTTGAGCCCCATTAAATTAAATTAAATTCCATTACATTAATTTTTCCCACACATTCATCAAATAAAATTACTATTGACACACTAAAAATACAGCCCAAATTGGATAGCCCAAAGAGTGAAATCCAATTGGAAGCCCAGTACAAAGACCCAAATGAAGTTGTTGATAAGTGCAAAAGGAGCCCACGAACACAGTAACATCATCGCCCAAGCCCACATGACGCGTTTGGACGAATGGAGTGCCTCACTGTCGCTCAGCGCGATAGCCTGGTTTTCGCTCAAACCTTCGAATTACCCAGAATCCTAATATGTGAGATATTGTGATCATCCAGAATAACAATTATTGAGACAGTTATCGAGCTAATTATCACATTCCACAATTTAAGAACAATGAAAAGTAATGGCAGTAGTTAGAGATAGCAGTTCCACGATAAATTAGGCACCATGAAGAAAATGGGTAGTAATTTCCAATCGGTTTGTCACGCAGAAGTCGTCATAGGAGTATAAAAGAAAAAAATAGACATAGAGGAAAAGGACCCCGAATTAAACACTCTCAAACAGAGAATATGTAATTCCATTTTTGGGACTTTGTCTCAAAAGATTTGTCCCTTACACAATCATTTGAATTTCTTTTTAATTGTTAGCGACTACCTGCGCGAAACAATTACACACAAATCTAAAACTTTTCAACCACATTCCCCCATCAATCACTATTCTAAAAATTTTCAACCCCCAAAAATGGGGGCCAAACAGGGGCTTAATTGCATCAGTATATGACGCATGGAAAGGAAACTGTCTAGTTCATTACATTCTATGATGCACCGATACGGATACGTGTGCCCGACACGTATTTTTTCTAAGAGTACTAACACAACATGTCGACACATCAATTAAAATCTACAGTATAAGTTTAGCTATATATTTGTTATTAATTTTTCTTATTGAAATTTTCTAAATATGAGTACTTATTTGTTATTTAATAATAATTTTGAGTTAAAAATATATAATATTGTTTATGAAGAAAGAAGAATGACCGAGGTAGAGTTTCAAAGGAGTATTGGTATTCGGCACAAGTCCGACACGTGTCGGACACGGATACGCTGCATACGCTACCTTAGTTGAAGATTACATTTGTTCAAAGCTATACATTTGACACAAAGTCAGGGATGTCAAATTTGTACAGCCAAGTCATTGCAGCAACATACTTGCAAACACAGAGTCAAGTTATTCTCAAGTCAAACAATTGGTTCAAGTTAAGAACATGCCCTAATGATAAGAAGGTTCATCATTTAAGGTGTTCATATTTGCAATATTCAAGATGGACGTTGACTGCAAAAGATTGAAACTCGTTTTATATCTATTAGTATCAAACAGAAGGCTGCCCCCTACTATTTTGGGGGGAAGTTCTCACCCCAATCCTAGTTTGCCATTTAAAGCCCACGCTTTCAGAAAGAAAAATAAACCTTGTCCATTCAATATGTGGTAATGGGAAAATTGATAGCATAATTTCCTTCATCTTCTTTTCCTCATCTATCTTCCACAACTCCTTTTCAGCTCCCTATGTTTCATTTCTGATAGTAAACAATTGCAAGGACGTGAAAGCATAGTTTGTTAAGAAAAAGAAGAGGAATCAAGCATAATTCTTCATCTTCTTCCTAATAGTCAATGAAATAATAACACAACAGATAACTATATTTTGTACATGGAACATATATATGCTGAAAGAAATTTCACTCAGCTACGGCATGGATGACTTCTGCCAACTTTAGGAGTGCTATCAAAACATAGTTGTGAACATGCAGAGTTACAAAAGAGGCAGAAAATAGAGTAGATTCAGCAGCTCTCTCAAGCCTGAGAACCAAAAAGTTTAAATAGGAAGAAGAAAAGGTCTGAAGAAATGAGAGCACCATGCAGTCTTGAGATTCTCAAAGAAAAATCAAAAGTTTACCGGATGTCCATGTGATGAAACTAACTGAATTTTAATCATCTCCAGCTTGTAAAATAAAGTTCCATTTCCGAGCATTTCATCCTTCTCCGATTCCTCTGCCAAACTTGGGCTACCTTGCATAGTCTCATTTTCGGGTTTGTGACCGTTGATCTGAATAATGGCTTCTTGAATTTGTTCTTCGGAAATGTAATTAGTATCAACACCACTAGATTTATGCTTCTGGATGACAGAGTGCTCTTCAATAAACATAGGTCTTAGGAGGCCTTGTATAGCAAGACCAGAAGAAGGCTGCTCCATATATTTGACTGGATTATCAGACACAACCTGTAACAAAATAGATTCACAAAAATGGATATATGATGGTGCATTATGATAAGTGCATTTTACACATTTTTTTAGGCCACAAAATACGGATAATTGTAGGTAAATATATTGGAATATGGTTTAATTCTATATAAATTTTGTTTTGTAGGATAACATTGATGAATATGGTGGAATTTAGGAGAAGCAAGCGAAAAAAAGGACTAAATTGGAAGAAAATCAAAGTTCAGAGACCGAAATCAAATAGCTATGATCCGGAAGAAAAAATAAAGATGTGAAAGAGTCAAAAACCAATTGAGCGAATGAATGAAGTATTGGAAGAAGAAACGAGAAAAGAGATCAAGAAATGAGAAAATGGAGTTCGGGGAATAAAATGCAAAAATTAGACTTTTTCCTATGTTATGTGGTCGCATAGCACGTTTAGCCATGCGGTAGGATGCACGGAAATCCAAGGCTGAAGTTGGTTGAACTATGCTATAGCATGTGATTGAACTATGCTAAAGAATAACACATTTTCGGAAGAAAATTTCTGGTTTCATTGTATCCCTCCAACTCTTACGGAAACAATATTTGGAACATCTTTTTAAGACCTAGGGTCGTCCGAAACACATTACAACGCATTGGAGAGCATACAAGACAGCAAGAAACATCAAGAGAGATTCTACAACATCAAGATTCGTAATTTTAGTGATGTCTCTTTATATAATTCTTGTTTTCTTCTCAATATCATGTTAGGTTAGATTTCTTTGTGTTAGGAGAATGATAAAGCTTTTAATATGAGTTTTTAATATTTAGTATTATTATTTTACATTGAAAACACGTTTTTGGATTTTGAATTATTTACATGATTATCTTTTCTCTGCAATTATGCAGAGTAGTTGTATGAATTTGGTGGCTTATTTTATGCATTCGAAAGAAAGAAAATAGGTTTGACATGGTGTAAATTGCCACAGGGTCTGATAGGGGATAAAAATATACCGATATACTTTATGTGAATCTTTAAATATTCATAAAAATTCATGCACTCTTGTATGTTCACATCCGTCATAGAAATGTAGTCGAATCATATATGGGAGTAGGTTTAATATTACTCGAGAGAGATTGTTAAATAAAAGAGGAATATTGATTCATCTAAATTCAATAGTATTGTCAAAGTGTAGAACTAAAGTTAAAAAGGATTATTATATTGGAATTCTGGATCCTAGTGCGCTTGTCATTCATTAAAACACCTTAACTTACATTTAACATAATTTGCACTTAACTTAGTTAATTTACTCATAATTGCATAAATAGTTTATTTTAGCATAATTTTGTCACAAACAAACACATCACGTTATTATTGTTTCATTTAAGATTGTGATAATCAAAATTGAACTAAATCGATCTGATGCGGACATCATCGAGACTTAATTTTACTATTATTGGGTTTTATCATTTATATTTTCTATTTTTATTGTTATTGGGCTTGCAGTAGTGGGTTGGCCCAAACCCGTTACTAGCTAGGTTTTCGCTATTTATATGATTTTCATATTGTAATTTAGAGAGTTGATGAATATGATGAATTAAAGATCGGCTTGTTCTTTCTTCTCCCTTCTTCTTCTTCTTCTTCTTCTTCTTCTTCTTCTTGCTTCTTTACGGCTTCTTCTCCCTCTCTTCTACCACTACTTTCTTCTGACAATTCTAATTCTACTTTTGTCCTGCATCAAATTGGTATCAGAGCCAAAACCTGGTAATACTTCATCTACAATCAAATTTTTTTTTTTAGTCACGGCTGTCCATCTACATCTAGTTCCGGCTGCACATCTTCTAAATCACCAGATTCAGGCGCTCCAACCACCGCTGCCATCGGTAACTGCTTGCCAAACAGGAAAAAAAAAAATAATTTGTTACCACAAATCCCATTTTCACAAACAACAACCGCCAACAATCAAGAGACCCATACAACCGCAAAATCAGTCACCACCACTATGTAACCTTTTTCAAACACTGTCACCATCCTCATCAACCTACAAATTACGGCTAACACATCCATAAACAAAATAACCCACCATCGCCGGCACCTCCCTTGCTTCACATCGCAGCCACCAACATCACGCCACACCATGGATGGTTCTGCTAATCATGTCAATGGAGAGGTATTGGTGCTTTGTTTGTGGATTGAAAATCAGAATTGGAACATATAGTAATCTGCCTTATTTCCCCGTAATCCCTTTCCCAGATTTCTCTGTAATCCCTTTCCCAGATTTCAATACCTATTCCCAACCTACTTTACGTTTATTTCAACAAAAGCATGACACACACACACCTACATTTGGCCCATACGCCACATGCCCAATCCAATTAAAAATTTAAACCCACACTGTAGCAGGACTCATTTGGATTTCTGTTCAAGTTTTGATATTTTAGTATATTAGTTGTTAAAAAAAAAAGTCTGGTCCAGTAGTTTTTTTTTTTTGGGACCTCGGTTTGGGTCCCTATTTTTGTAATTTGTTTTTAGTTAAAAAAAAAAAAAAGGTGAAAAAAAAAGGAGAAAAAGGAGGAAAAAAAAGTATTTTCTAACATATTTTTGTAGGTACCTATATGACATGTTGGTTGGTTCAGCTACTTCAACGAACAAAACGGGAGCAATTGTTTCTTGTCTTTGGTGATCAATTACTTGTGCTCATTTACTTCGACGAACAACTGGAGAGCTACTGTTTGATTTATCGTTGGTTTATATTAATGTTTATTTTTAAAATTGCATCGATTAACTTCTTTGTGCTGCTGTTATTCTAAGTTTACCTAAAGTTCACGTAACCGAATCTCTTGACTTGTTAAATTCTCATTTTACCCCACCTATTTTGCGTGATTAGGTTTTTTGACTAGTATTTGACCCCTACTTTGTGATTTTACATGTATTAGCAATATTAGCTTGTCATATTTGGATTACGTAGTCCAAAAAAATATTTGTTCAATGTTCAAGTTATTATTTTCCATTGCTTGCTCTTATTGTTCATTAATTTCTCCATTGCACGTCATTTAGCTGCTAATACAGTGCGTATAGTTGTGTAGTGGTCGTTTTGTCACTTCTAGTTTAAGTACCTTAACTATGGACTCCTCATAATTTGATACACTCACCCGTCAAATAGTAGCTATTCAAATCCAAATTATTGTTACTATTGAAGTGAGTAGGAGCCTAGCTGCTGGTATGAATAATTTTAAAAAAATCCCTCATTCGACTAATTTGATAATTCTGAAGTGTCCTATAATAGCCACTATCATCGTCGACAAGGTGATCAAAAATATTTTCGACACAATTGTAGGGATAAGGATCAGGTTCGTGGGCAAGAACGAGAACGAGGTCATGATCTTTACGGTACTCATCCTCTTCCACGTCATACGGAGCGTTCCTTTAGAAACATTAAAGTAGATGTTTCTACTTTTGATAGTTGCTTAGATTTTGAAATTTTTACTCAATGGACTGCCCTTAAACAAGAGAATAGGTTAGTGACTGAGTATATTGCTAAATTTTAAGGAATTTCGAATGAAATGTTATGTCATTGAGGATGAAGCCCTGACTTTGAGTAGGTTTAGATAAGGTCAAAGAGATGATCTTAGGCATGAGCTTTTCCGTCGGGGTGTCACTACTCTTGATCATGCTTACTCTTTAGCCTGAGATTTTGAGTTGATTATTGGTACTCCTTATGAAAAGCATGGCGACAACCATACACCAATCTCATCAATGCTACTTCGTTTTAAGTCTATTAGGAGACCTTTCCCGTCAAATGTTTCTCCTGTATTCGAAAATAAGGGAACAATTTCTGAAATTCTAATGACTTCTTCTCACTTGCAGTGCTTCAACTGTAAGGAATTTGGGCACATCTTTTCGAAATGTCCTAGTCGAGACTTAGTCATTGAAGAACGATAGAACATAATAGATGAGCGGTTAGAAGATCAAGTCTATGAACCTAAACATGAAAAATTTGATTACTCGGATGATAGTGAGAACACTTGGGTAGTGTTCGGACTTTTCCTTGATAGTGAGAACACCTCCTTAGGTAATATTCGGACTTTTCCTATGAATCTACGTATTGTGCATCTTGTTCCCAATACCTCTCAGTCAAGTGTTGTATATCGTACCATTATCCAACCCAAAGGTGCTATTGACTTGTGTAATCATGTCATTCTCAAAGAAAATATTGGGAATTGGGATTTGATCGTCCCAATAGTTCAAATTTTATATAAAAATTCTGTGAATCGCTCTATAAGTATGAGTCCCTTAGAAATTATTCATGATTATGAGTCTGTGAAGCCTTTAGACCTTATTCACATGTCCCCACATGCTAGTGTGTTGATGTCAGATGAGGCGTTTGTACGTCATCTTCATGATTTGCATACTGAGATCAATAAACGGCTTGAAGCAAGTAATTATTATATAAACTTCAAGATGATTTGCATAAATGACATTTTGAATTTAATATTGGGGATTATGTTATGTTACAAGCCCGTAGTGCTAGTCCTTTTAAAATTGTAAAGCATGTTTGTTCGAATGCACATGTCATTGATCCTTCACATTTTGGCTACCACTCTACTTTATCTATTGAGGACTTCCTTACTTACAAACACCATTTCAATTCCTTTGATGGTCCTTTTCTGTTTAGCTCTGTGGACCCCCAACCTATCTATGTTAATATTTCTACTTCAATACCATTTGTCACAGCACACAAAGATACAATTGATGTTATTTTAGATGAACAGGTTGTATTAACCAATGATGACGAAATTTAGTACTTTCTTGTTGTTGGGTCGACCCACCTAATTCTAATTGTCCATGGATTCTCAGAAAGAAACTTCAACAGCTTGATCTAGATTCATTCGAACTTTATAGGAGTCAGCAAGATCTCACTACACCAAAAAAGGGCTTTTGCAGCTGCCAAAAAATGATACAAAAGACCTTTTACAGCGTTTTTCCAAGTGTTACGGAGGTCGGTGTTTCAATTGAGGGAAGACTTTTTGCAGCGTTT